ATACGCGCCCCGGCCCTTGGCGCGCTGAGAGCCTTTCGATGTTACTATTAGCCGAGCTCAGCTCGATTATTAGCTGCTCGCGCGATGCTTCGAGAGGGGAAGAGAGGGAAAGGTCAAATTAAGCAATGTCGGACGATTGATATTCCGCAGGGAAATGGTGTTGCGGGCATGCATTGAGTCGTCGCTGTCGAGCCAAGCGAAGTGTCCGCATACACATGGCGAAATTTCACGACAGATGTGCAATAAAGTACAGGTTTGAGCTTGAGGAGTTTGCTCGCACGAGACATGTCTTCGTTCCCAGCTAACCCACGTATCTTTATACCCGGACTCGAGCGCATCCAGCTCTCGTTATATAGCCCGTAGCGTGGCAAGCTGTCGTACAAATCATCCATGTACATATTCGCGCGCCGAAGAGAGTGAGAGAAACGAAAGATAAATTGGCCCACGGCCTCGTGTATACGTACACGTATCTCTAATAACATAAGATAGTCAGGAACGTTTGCAGCGCGGAGAAATTGTTTATTTAATATAACGGGTGCGCGCAACAGTGAATAGAGGCAGGATCGTCAAATGCAAAAAATAGAGATAAATACACAGAGCGGCCCTGAATAGGGTAGGAAAAGCCGAGAGAGAGACAGAGTTTACACTCGATAAGCAGAGCATTGTGTCCGCAGTGGCGGAACACTCGAGGCTATGCACGCGCACCAACAGCAGAACTCAATTTTATTTATATAAAAGAACGAGACGTCAGAGAGAGGCGAGCGTTTTGTGCATGACGAATGGTCGCGCGGCTCAAAGCTCGGCGGAATATCGAATTCCATTAAAAGTCCTCTTTTGCGCGCGCAAACGACAGTTCTCTCGCAGACCGGAGAGTCGCCGATAATGTCGCGTCACTTTTCCCATTCAACGCCCCATCCCCTCCACGCAGGTTAGTGCGGCACTTTGATTTTCGGACGTTTCCGCCACGGACGACGTGTCCTTCGCCTACTCCTCCTTTTTTTTTTCTTTTTATGCCACGTCGTGAAAAACTGAGCGGTCGACGAGAGCTGTATCGGAAAAAATATGAAACTGGCCTACGCAGTTTATGCGCCTTTTTTTCGCGAGAGAGGCTTACTTTTAACGGCCGCGTTCGCCTGATAAAGGCTTCCAAAGTTTTTTTTATTTTTATACCTAATAAAGAGCGCACGATGGAATAGCTACTCTCTTATTTCGAGCTCGATAAGCTGGAAAGACCGAGAGCCGCGATGCTCGATACAATGTTCCACAAAAAGACAAGTCTTTGGCGTAATTTCCGCGACATTGAACCATACCGCTGGGCCAATTCACATTTCGAGAAAACTAGTTACACCTTGTCTATATCTCAGCTCGAGCATCAGCAAACGTTATTGCGCTCGGTACCATCAAAATTATTTGAGAAAAGGTAAAGCACTGCGAATCCGTAATTTTATTAAAAATTTTGTTTTTCCCTTTTGCAAGCGCGAGAATAAAATTAAAGAGCTACGCGTGGCAATTTTTTTACGATGTTAAACGTGCACTTCGCGACAAGTTTTTAAATCGCGTGTTAAAAAAAATGTGCCGTTTTAATTGTCGGTAGATTATACTTTCCGTTTTCCCGTTTAAATTGCGGTAAAACTAATTCTCAGTTTTGTTCGTGCCCCGTAAATTCAAGAAGTTTTATTGTTTTCAATGATCTCGACCAGTAAAAAACGCCTCTCTCTCTCTCGGGCAACAACCGTTTATTACTTCTCGCCAACAACTGACTTTTCCGATCGCAACAACATCGCTGTCGAGGTTCTTTTTTATCTTTTTTTATATTCTTTACCGACGCAACAATTTCAAATCAAGAACGCAGCGCGGGCAGGCTGAATCGAAGCGACGATAAAAAATCGATACACGATTTGGCGTCATTCAGCGAGCTGGAGACGACGACGACGTCGACAATCGGTGGGAAAAGCGCGGTGCGAATAATAGAATGGGCTGAGCGCGCGCGGGCGCGCGCGCGTCCCGACGCTCGCGTGAAAATTCTCAGGCGCCGCATTGCCGTATGATTGCGAAATATACGAGAGTTTCGATTTTCCATGCCGCTGATAAATTCACCCCTAATCGAATCCAGCCGCGCCGCACCAGCCCGGGGGCAAAAAGAAGTAACAAGCAGCCGCGGCGCATATGCTCATCTTTCAGCGCAGCTATATATATATATTAGCCTTTTTTCTGCTTTCTCTCGTCGTGAGTGATGCATGTGTATGTGCGTATGGATGTGTGAGTGTGAGCGCGCGCTCGTGTATACGTGGATGAACATGCCTCTTTTAGCTCGATGAGCGTGAGCTTTCAAAGGGCAAAAGGGGGCGCGCGCGGAAGAAATGGGAGTGAGTGTAGAAAAGCGGAAAAAAGCACGCAGATTATTCATACGTGTGTTTCCGCTTTTCCGCTCTCTCTCTCTCTCTCTCTCTCTCTCTCTCTCTCTCTCTCAAGCGTTTGCAAACAAAAGCGTAAAAAAAGTCTACGCCATGATTAACTGCGTCGAGGGAATAATTTTTGTGCTTTCTAACTTCGTTAATCAACACGCACAAACGAGCTTTTATTCGAGTCATTTCTTCAATATCACAGCTACGAACGCTCAATTAACCCGAATGACCGATGCTATTTGATACGCCGTATTCTCTCGTACGGTACTCGCTCGACTGACATCCGAATAATGCATTCTTTGGCATTTTTCGGTCACAAGGCAGTAAATAGAAGCGAGGAAAGTAGTCGCGAATTCCGCAGACGAAGACGAAGCCAGAGAATCCGAGAAAAAGAGGAGGAGGGTAGGGCAAAAAAGAGAATGCCGCCACCGTCGCCACGGAGAGAAAGAAGAAGAAGAACCGAAATTCTCCCGTACGTGACTCCAGAGCCGCGGCGCTCGTCTTGCGGCAGAAGATCCTGCGCCGTAAAAATCGAATGAGGACTTAATCATTTTTCAGCGGGGCTCTTCCGTCCTGCCGACTCATCGGAAATTTTTCGATCTCTTTGCCAGTGTGGAGCGCAAGCTTTTGCCAAAATAAAATGGGGTTCCGCCAATTTTCTAGTAGCCGCTGCTTCGAATACCTCTATCCTTTATGTGTTATAGTTCGATAAAGTCCTCGTAAGCATCCGCAACGTACAGTGGATTGTAGTTCGATTATCCGCTTCGATATGATCACTGGATGATTTCAACATTTTCATTCAGCTTGAACCAAAGTTTCGATTAATCATATATAATTGAGAATTGACAGAAAATATATTCCTGTATTGTTCTGATTATTAAGTCCAACGTGTTAGAGATTTCGAAAAATCAATGCATTCTATTTCCATTTCCTAATGAAAAACCCGCTGGTCAGATCCCGCGCTATTTAAAGTAAGCATTCGCTCAGTCGAAAAACGTCACAGCTGTGGGTCGTCCATTTTCTCGGATCTATTCTTTCTTTTCCAAGAATATTATATATTAATGGAGCCTTTTAGTTTCCATTAGGCATGATGAATTTTCGTAATAGTTTACATATTGAAATCGCATCATTAATTCTCGGTGTGTTATCGCATAGTTGAAAAAAGTGGAGAGATTCGATAAAAGTAATAAAAACGTAAAAGCGGTAAAAGCAGCGAACGAACAATTCAGTCTCTGTGCATTAAACTTTATTTGATTCAAATCCACTTTCAAAACTTACACGGCGTTCCTGCGAAATTTTCGTCGCACGCGTAAGCCCCGTTGGCAATCTAGTTTTAACCGCATCGAGAACATACCAAACGCTCGCAACGGGAAATAAAATACAAAACGAAAGTAAAGAAATAAAAACAGCGAGGGAGGGAGATAAAATGACAAGCGAGGAATAACAAAGAGAGAAAGCGAGAGAGCGAGAGAGAGAGAGAGAGAGAGAGAGAGAGAGAGAGAGAGAAAGGGAAGGGGACTTTAACATTTTAATGTAGCTCACACGCCACATTTGGTATTCGATTGCAAGTTAAATTACATCTGCGGGTAGAATTTATCTTGCGGTAAGGAAGATTGGATCCCCCGCTGTAGCGAATTATTATTAAAGCGTCATCATGATTACAAGCCCGGAGCCATACTACGTGCAGCGAGTGGCGCAAGCTCTCGTTGGCGCGCGTCTCGCCTCGCGGCAGGGAGCAAGAGCGAAGGCGCGCCACGATTCTCATCACGTCCCGCCGAAGAGCGCGGCCGGCAGCTTGCCGTTTCGAAAGCTCGCGCGTGTTATGTGCTTTCCATTTCGCGACGACGGCGCTTGACGACTCGACGTCGCCGCCAATAAATAATCGCAGCCGCGGCGCCCCTCCGCGCCCTGGCAGATTTTCCGCGAGGGCGACGCGCTGGAAGAGGCGCTACCGGCGACGTACGTATAACAAGGCGCTCCCGTCGGGGCAATAAACGATGCGCTTTGACGCTTTTTGCTCGGCTCGCGAGGTGGGCCACGCCATGCGGGCACGCGAAAAAGGACTTGCTAACGAGATTATTGCGCGCGCGCGAGCTGCATGGTGGTGCTCGCTTGTTAGCTCCGACGAGCCAAGGCTCCCAGCCCTGGCTGCGCGCCCATCGCTCTAGCCGCGCTCTGTACACGCGTAGTTTATCTTTCGCGACGTTCGATTTGTTGCTCGCGCTCCCGTTTATGTACCTCCGGAGGATTTAGCTGGAGGTCTACGCTCGAACGAATATCCATTCGATGCAAATGGCTTACGTCGCCGTGACGTTCGTCTCCTTTGTGTCGATGCGGCGCAACGTCCGCGTTTTTCCTTCCTTCCTCTTTACGTAGATCTCTTTATCCGCGTTCGTGACCCGTAGTTATTCATATCGAATGGACAGCCCAGCGACTTGCCAATCGAGTACCGAATAAAGCCCCGCAAGCGACGAAGTGAAACGATTACCTTGGCGCTAACGAACGAAGAACGAAGAGGAGAAAGATCGAGGCCAAGCTGATGCGAGCCGAGAGAAAGGGGAGCACGTGTAGAGGGCGTAAAGAGAAGCAACGTACCGGCAGTATAGGCAGCAGCGGCAGCGGGTGCAGCAGTAGCATCGGCCAACGACGACGAGTGGAGGGCCAACGTCGAGAGGATAAGAAAAATACTCGACGTCAGCCACAGAACGGCGGTGCGGCGGCCGAGCCGACCGTTGTTCGGCGCTCGGCGCATCCTCAGCGCATCAAGTGGCCTTTTGCTCGAGCCACCGTATACACCTGCAACAAGAGTCAAGCAAAAAAGCACACGTTACTCACTTAATTACTCGGAGTGCGCGCTGGCCTTTCAGCCAGCTCGAGAAATAGCAAAGCGCGCGTCTTGGAAAAAAAGAAAAGCAAGGGTATGGAGGAAAGGCAAGCCAGAGGAAATCCTTTAACAAGACTAACGAGAATGAAATTCATCCCCAGCCCCGAATCGAGCCGAGGAGGCAAAAGCGAGCTAGGTTCGATTGAAAGCGCGTCAGAGGGAGGGGCTTTCTTGGTCGAGAGCAAGTGCGGGCGACTCTCAAATATTAAGGCGAGGGCACGCAGGGCCTTAATTCCATTATCGTGGGCGAATGTGTAGGCGGGCTCTACATACGTATCTATATAGCTCGAAGAACCGCAGAGTTTCTCGTGGAGTGGGAAAACGTTTCATTCGAGCGCTAAGCAAACTTGCGCTCCGTCTAACTACCAACTGGGATTTGGCGGAGTGGAGCGCGCGAGACGACGTCGAGGCCGCTCGTCGTCGCTGCGTCTCGTCGCACGCTAAGAGGATGAATAACAATGGGCCGAAGCCATCCAGCTCCTTATTCGTTATTCGCCCGGGGAATATTCTAATGCACTGGCGCGCCGCGCGTCACCTGGCTTATTCATGAACTCCCCCAGCCATATCCTTAACAGGCGCGAGCGATACGCGTCTTATTTCAGCGTCCGCCAGCTACGACTTCGTACCTTTTGATATCGCTGCTTAAGTTCCATCCGTCCAAATTTATTCCGGCTCGGCGGCAGCCCCCGTCTTTCGCGTAATCCCCGCGTTTGTCTCCGCGGGCCAGTCCGGGCTCCTCTTTCTCGTCCTCTCGACTCGCCGGTTCGCGCCACCCTCGTGATTTTTTAGGGCTCGCTCTCCCTCGCACCGCCCCGTGCGCTCACGGCTGCTGCTGCTGCTGCTGCTGCTGCTGCTGCAGTAAGTAGCTGCAGCGGCGGGGCATGTATACGTAATGGACGCGCAGCAGCAGCAGCAGCGAAGGCGAGTGACGTGTGGCAGGCCGCTTGATTCCGCAGCAGCAGCAGCAGCAGCAGCAGCAGCAGCAGCAGCAGCAGCAGCAGCAGCAGCAGCAAATATTAAATTATTCATCTGCATCTTTGCTACGGCGCTGCTGCTTTCGGGCAATGCTAAAACGCACGTCGATCAAACTAAGAGGCAGACGTTTGGGTATCGCTACTGCTAGTGCTCTCTCGGTCACTAGCTGGCGCACGTACCTTGCTTTTGCTTATTCATCGCGCTCCACGCGTCGTCCGTTATTTAACGGCTCGATCGGTCGATTTCCAGAATATCCCCGCGAAGCGTGTGCAGGGCGAGAGCTTTCTATCCGCCAATTGCGACGCGACGTAACCTGCGATTTGATATACGACTAATCATTCTTAGCGGTGATGAATGACTGTAGGAAGGCTCGCCAGAGCGCGACTATACTTTCCAACCCATAAACTTCATGACGCCGCAGAGTCTAGAAAGTCAAAAGGTCGCACTGAGCGCCGCGACGTGACTCGTTAAAAGGGGCCGCGCGCGACGCGAGGACGCAAGCCAGCAATTTGCAATCGGCGTGATTCGGCAAGGCGCGCTCGCTTAAAATGCAGCGGGCACGCGCACGCTACACGCACCGCGACGCGCTCGAAGGTTACTCGGCCTTGCTGCGCGCCCTATACTAAAAGAGAAACTCAACGTACTGGCCCACGATGACACTTGGATGCTGTAATTATGTCCCGTGCCACATGTCCTCGGTGTACGAGTAGCTCCTTCCTCGCGCACTGTCGAAAGCTACTTTCATCGAAAACTCGTTACGTCTAAGACGCAAAAGTAATCAGCCCGGAATAAATACGCTTCTTTATATAATCCTATTTACTGTTATTTATGGCGTAGCCTTACGCCGTGCTTATGGTGTTTAACGGGTACAAGGCTGCTGCCTGCTGTCTTAGCAGTATATAACAACTTATTGGCCTTTCAACGATTATATACGAACGGTTGAAGGTGCGTTGCAAGAATTCATACGCGCTACTTCACCGAGTTCCTCTTGCGCTGCTTTCAAGTCGACGTTCAAAGAGATTCTTCGCCAAAAGTCGAAGGGAAAATTATACTTTCGGAATATTTCAACGTGTATAAGGTCGGAAGTTTGAGCCTCCCAGTTGCCCTTTGCCGTCGGATGCACACGCCGCGAGTTTCTATCTTTTAATTCAAGTTAAATAAGACTACAGTAGCGATCAACTCGTAGGCGAAAGATCGATTCTACTCGCAGCACCCAATATATTGTTTGTCTACGTAGAACGCGGATCAACGAGGAAAATCCAGAGCTCGAAGAAAAAACGAGTGCTCGCTTAGAGACGAAGCGCATAGGTGTATTTTTGGCCGTCGCGCGAAGAGCCGCAATGAGACAGAAAACCCCCAGGCGTATTTAATGATAGAGGGAATGTTTTGTCCCTCACCCACGCGCCGATTGGTGGCAGGATTTAGGCTTGCCGAGCGCTCGTTTTTTTTTTTTTTTTTTCGCGTTTTCAAATCATTAGACTCTCCCGAGCAGCGCAGGAAAATATATAATAATCCCGTGACAATGACGAGCAGTAGCTCGATCCCGTCGTTGCGGGGAGAAGTAAGCAGAGAGCGAGGCTGTCATATCGATCAACAAAAGCCTGCGGAACTCGCTAGACTAACGACGTCGAGTCTAATGAAAACAAATACTTCACTGGGAAAGCCGACGGTGCTCGGGACGAACCTTACGGGACCCGGGCGGGCGAAGCGTCACGAATAAATCGTGCAATTAGCAGTGCTCTCGCGGCTCGAGTGCCGAAATAGATCGAGTACTCTCTCGCGGCAGTAATGTCACTGCGAACATGGGTATTAATCCAATTACACGGAGAGAAAAGCGAGACGCCTCGCGGCCCTCTGCTCGGACGCAGTTCCAGCTGTAGCTTTTTCAAGCAAGATTAACCGTAGTACGATTGATGCACCTTACTATCGACGTTTTCATTCAATCAGTCGCGCTCCGGCTGGCATTGTTTATTTATTTATTTTTATTTATTTTTTGCCCTCTCGCTCGCCGTTGTTGTATCGCTGAGTTGGCCAAAAGTGGCGTAGCGTAACCAAACGCATGGCTGCACACACCTCTGCAATAACTACTATGCTGTGTCGCGCGTCGAGCAGCTGGGCTTTTGTCGAGCGAAGCAGACTGAGAGAGAGAGAGAGAGAGAGAGAGAGAGAGAGAGAGAGAGAGAGAGGATGCACGGCTCGTTTGGTTCTTATACTGCGTCGAGGACTCGGGCAGTGCAAGCTCGAATGCCAGCCCGACTCTGTGCCTACTCCTATGACAACCTTTTAATGGGCTCCAATTGAGTTTCTTCCCCTGTAAGCAACTGCGCGAGTTTGCACTGCGCGCGGATTTTCCGTTTAACGGAATACGCCCACTTAAGCTTCTCGCGCCCGTGAGCGACATTTTCGCTGGGGCCCCAAGATTTCCGTGCTTAATATTAAATGAAGCGCCGTCGAGCGGAAGTTAAATATCCTCGTTTTTAGAACGTCTCCGAGAAAAACGTCGGCGGATATATTTTTTTTTCTTCCTCGACTGCCGCTGCTCTGTCTGGTTTGTATCTTTGTGTGCCTGGCTGCGCAACGTGTACTCGTATACCAGCGCAGCTGAACGAATTCGAGTAGGTCGGAAAGACTGGTGTTCGTTCTCGGGCGAACGAGCGTGCGATAATAAAACTAGCATGCAATACATCAATTACCACTGCGACTAACCGAACACGCATGAAGGTTGTTTGACGAACGTTATCAACCGGATTGAAAGCGCGCGGTGCTCAAATGTTGCGCCAACGGTCCGGCATACGCGATAATCAACTTGACTGCCATGCGAGGTAATCAATTTGGTAATTATAGCCGGCAACTAAACCGACGCGCGATCCGCGTGTGCTCTAAATGACGGGAGATAATCAAGTGCAGAAAGAGCTGTACAATTGCTTGATTGACGCGTTAATTAAAATATTGTTTTTCAGAACCTAATTGCCACGGGCGGCAGTGGTATCACGAGCAAACATCGATCGGCGATCGTCGTTTCGGAATCGTTCGGCGCGCGGCGTAACTCGCAAAAACAAAGTGTATGGGTGACGCAGAGTTTGCCGCGCGAGTTTAAAGCAAAGAGAGTGCGCAGCGCCACTCACGACTCTGTGGCAATTAGCATTTCCGTGTGTTTTCATGCTAAATAGAGAAGATCGTAGGAGCCGAAGCTTTGGAAAGCTCTGGGGCCTCGTGATCGCCTTCGTTAGCGACACACTTTCTCTCGAAATGCCAAGGAAATCTAAAGTGTCATCGAAATCCACAGGCGCATACCTGCATAGCAGAGGCTTCGATCCAAACCGGTATAACCCCCGTCCCTCGATCTCTCTATCTCTGTCTCTCGAGAGCGAAGGTGCGCGGGTGGGGGCGGGTAATAAGCGGCTCCTGACGCGATTACCGTGGTGTAATTACCCGGCGGGCGTTTGAGCGCGAGCGAGCGAGAGTTGTGGCCCCGCGTATATGGGCTGTACAGCCCCTCCGTTAGCTCGCACGGCTGCTGCCGCTGGACGGCGGCCCAGGTAGGATATGGATGGGTATATACACCTGCGCTGCGGAATAACGACCCGCTCGTAAATTATTCATGGGCGCTGCTCCCAGCCCACCCTCCGCGTTATCTGCCGCTCGTCCCGCGCGAGCATCGCCGAAAATTTCAACGTCGCCCTGCAACTCGCACGGCTCCCGTATCTCCGCGTTGAATAATTATTACGGCCAATTCCGTGTAGCGCGCGCGCGCTCGTGCATGCACCTCCGTCGTTAATACGTATCGAGCCCCGCCGCAGACGTTACTCATTCGCGAGTAGCCGCCCTCCCTCCCCCTCGGACAATTATTAATTTCAAGATGAATATGCAGATACGCATCAGCGCAGGGCGCCTCAAACGATGCAGTCTTCCAAGCGGAACAACGGAGAGAGAGGGA